AGATTATTTTTTTTTTAAATAAAACATACTTTGAAAAAAGCCTTGCTCTGTTAAACATAATTTGAGAATAATTAAAAAAGTAAATAAGAAAATAAAAGGGAGGCTAAAATTTCTGACTTCAACTGTGTGTGTGTGTGTGTGTGTGTGTGTGTGTGTGTGTGTGTGTGTGTGTGTGTGTGTGTGTGTGTGTGTGTGTGTGTGTGTGTGTGTGTGTGTGTGTGTGTGTGTGTGTGTGTGTGTGTGATTTGTAAATATATATCATTGTTGCTATATACGACAGTTTGCGTTACTGTGCACCTGGAAAAAAACAACGCTTGTCTTCGGCAATTGCATTATAAAGTCGAAAATATACAATGATGCAATATTAGAAATGTTTATAAATCATTTTGGGGCCACAATTATATGTGCCAATAAATAAATTCATATATCATAAGTGCGCGTTTCTGCAGACAGGTGTTGGTCTTCTTGCTCTCCGTGCTTGTCTCTTGCTCCTCTTCTTCCTACAAGGGCAGGTTCAAAAGTCTAAGCACAACAGTTTTTGTTCAGCGTGGCACTCACTATTTTTATTGCAAGGCAAACCCTGAATCATCTTTTTGATTTATGGACTCATATAAAGCGATGTCCACCACCCTATACAGTTAACATACAGTGCGTTTAGTTTTAAAATTTGTAGTCTAATCACTGCCTGGTAATATTTATAATTCTGACGTTAGTTTATTATTTTAATAGTTAATTATTAAAATATTTATATTATTTACGGAGTATTTATGATTATTGAAATAAGTATTAAATTGTTATGCTATATAAACGATGTGCAATATGTAAAAACAATATTTAAAAATCTAAAATTGTTTTTATGTCTAGGTCTTGGCCTTCGATACTTTTTCGTAACTAATTTACCCATATTTAATATTCAGACATCTTTCTTATTTAAAGGCTATTTTTCACATTGTACGGTAATAATTCAAACTTGTATGCAAATTATGTTTTATAAAAAAGAACCTATGTGGTAGATTTGGATGCATCAATAATGTACGATTATCTAAAACATTGTCTTTAAAAGGTGATGTATAACTTTATAGTACAGTGGTGTTTATGCAACTGCTGGCGCCATGTTATTCATTTTGCATGAATTAAGTTATTGGGATCAATTATAAAGTATTAAAGAAAGCCTGTTGTTGCAACTATCGATGCATTTCATAAAAGGCGTCGTAAAACATGGAGAACGTTTCAAAAAATGCTCCTAGCCGCCAAAAAGAGATAATAATAATAATAATATTAATAATAATAATAATAATGAATTAAATAATAATAAATAAATAGTATTACACATAAATAAATAAATAAATAAATAAGAGATAAAGAAAGAACGTTTTGTTTAGCCAATATAAGTTTCATGTGCCGCCATCTAAATAAGTAGGTTTATAAATAAAATATATATATAACCAAGCTTTAAAACGATTCAAATAAGTTTAGATTACAGGACGATGTGCTATAAATTAACTTTTTTGAGTGCTGTGTGTATAGCTGCAAATGCGTATTTTTTTGTAAATAAAGATTTAAACGTCCAAATATAAAACTTGTATAAAAGTTTATTGGCTGGCACACATCTACATACATCACATGCGAAGACCTCCTAACCTATTTCCTGAACAATAAAGTATGTTTGGCTTTAGTGGATTTAAGTCAAACGTGATTTATTTGTTCTCCTTTTCATTTTTAACGTGCATTTTCGTAACAAAAATATTTGCTTTACACCTGCCGTGAATGTCAAAAATCCAGCAAGCAAAGTCAGTCATTCTGAGGGAACAGGTTCTCAAAACATCCCTTTTGTGAATTGCTTAAAATGTTTGTTTTATGTTTTAAATGTTGTCATACCTGTATGGTACCTGTTTGGTATGTCACATAACCTGCAATTAAGTAGTTAATTGTCAATAAAATGTACGTGTGTTTTTTTCAATGTTTACAAATATTACTTGAAGACTCACCAGCACTTCACTAAAAAAGGTTGAAAATGGATGCCCCCTATAGAAAAAGTTACAAGGTCGCACACAACTAAAGAGCCTTGTTCTAGAGTTTACCGATCTCGTAGGTCATACGGTGCAGAGCAACAAAAGAGAAACACATTCAGATGTCCTTCTTCTATTGGCACATCATTATAACCAAAAACCCACAATGAAAGCAAGAGCACCGGTGGAACCCCAAGAAGCCTGTGAGGGTGCACACAGAAGGTACACGTTGAGAGAGCCAGTGGGGTCAAGGGGTGTGAGAGGTCGGCCGACCCGGCTGAAATGAAACTAATGGGACAGAAAATGTGTCCTCAAATTGAACTCGACTTTTCTTAGTTGCCACAAACTTCAATAAAGTATCTTTTCAGCCTCGCGACATGGAGGCGACAGCGTCTCGAAAGAGACTGCCGGGATGCTATGATTTAGGCGTGCACATTCATTTCTCTCTGCTGTTCAGTCACATAATGGTCACTGAATGCAGTTTTGCACCTACTCTTTTCAAGTGTCTTTCCAAAGTCATGGCCAGGCTAGGGCGATGCAAGTCCCTTTCTTTTCATGTAGGTTCGGAAAAACTATCCGCTGAAACATATTTTGCAGTTACCCTTTTGTGCACTATTTAGTGCCTGTACAACTTAATACATTGAAAGTACAATTGACTATTGCTGCCGGACTTGATTGATGATCTAAAATGACTCTCTCCTTTGTGCTTCTCAGCCCCCCACTTAGCAAGCCGTTGTGTAATCTTCATTCAAGTCAGGCCGATTTACAATTAATCAAACACAATCCTTATATTCTGTACGTTTCTGTATGTTTTTTTTTTAAACAATTGAGTTAACTGTTCTGATATTTACATTTTTAATATATTCTTGTGCCTTTGAAAAAATGCAATGGGTTAGAACTAATTTGCATATTGGAACGTTTTATGTCGTATTGTATCCGGCAAGGCCACAGTGTTCAGATTTGGTTCTGTGTATGCTGCTTTGGCTATGACGTTGCTTCTAACAGGTTCTAGCGCCACTTTTTAAAAATAACAATACGCCTTACACAGAGGAGTGGTCTGAATCAGAACTTTCAAAAACCAACACAATGAAATCATATTTTAGCACATGCAAATTGCCTAATAATAAATGAACAGTATGGACATAGTTGACTCATAGCTTTTGTCTTGGTACGCACTTATTCCATACCACATTTTTTTGCAATCGTTTTAAGTACATTTTTTATTATTTCATGTCATACTCGATTTAAAATATGATGCTAATTATCATTGATATTAAATAATAACTAATAGCAAAACATTTTTATAATTTAAACGTAACAATAGTATAGAACCTTTATTCACCAAGACCATAAAACATGTAAAAATTAAGCTCTTAATAATTTTCTGTTTTTATTGTTTGGTTTATCTATAAAATAAAACGAATATCTTTAATTTATTTGTCAGATTGATAAGGTTTAAAATGAGCCTTTTGAATACTGGAATGGGTCGTTAGAAACATTTTAGCCATGTTAAGAGAAGTAATTAATAGCAAGAAATCTCTACAATAGAAAGCGGTAAGGTCCCTAAACGAAAAGGCCCGAACTGGGTGCCACATTAATCGAATACGTAGTAATGTGATGGGTAGTACACAACCCAAGCTAGTCTAACCCATACACAAACCAAACATGAGGCTGCGTTGCATGTATTAGAAATGCTATGGCAAAAATTAAATGGCTAATTAGTTTTCTGCAATAAAGCATGCAGCACACACACTCGACACAACTGGCGTAGATTATTTAAAACATCACATTGTTTTTACATTTGGGCCTACATTTGTCTATTTAAAAAGATATACATTAAACGGAAAGTATCTGCATCATCTTTTAACAATTACAGAGAAAAAAAGTGATCGCCAATTATTCGCGGAAGTGTAATCTTTAAGCATATTAATAAAAGTCACCCAAGTCTAGGTTAAACTAATAGACACTTACGTTTTATTGACCAATATAATTAGCACAAATACACTAAACTGGTTTTATTGCATCTCACAACAATCTGCTGTTAATAGCCTAAACACAACGCCATCACAACAAAAACTAAATGATAATTTAAAAATCTTAACCTTTCCATACGACAGATAACCCACAGCATGATTTACTTTTAAATAAAACCAACAACAACAAAAAAAAACCTTTAAGATCTTTTTTCTATCGATACTCACGATAGCATTTTTCATTTACAGTGCAAAAAAGAAAAACGTACCAGCTCTTTCAAGTGAGAAATAAATAGATTCGTTGTGCACTTCACCTTGGCAGCTGGGCAAAAAGGCCCACGAATAACATTTGAATAAAATGTCCATAACCTGCTTCGCCCAAAACATTTCTCTTGAAAAAACATATAACAAAAACAAACATCATATTGATTCAGTTTTAGATAAATTAAACCCTGTGTCGCGTAAAAAATAATCCATAGGTATTCGCAATAATCCATGCTATATAACATGCATTTTATATAACTGTGGACTTAAAGGAACCCCCTTTACGCACAAGATACCTACGAAAACAAAATATATTATATTTTATAAATAATCAGTCATTTGATCTTGCTTTCTCTCCTCGAAATAGTTCTCTTATAACCTTGTAATATCCTCGCCACGCTCGGTTCCGGAGAGGTCCTCGGAGGCTGACATGGTGTTAGTGGTGGAAGCTGCCGCCACAACGCCAGCCGCTGAGCTTGTGTTGGACCCGGAGGAAATGCCCGTGGAGGACGAGGATCTGACTTTGGTGTTTGGCAGCCTATGGTCTTTTTTCCACTTCATCCTTCGGTTCTGAAACCAAATTTTGATTTGCCTCTCCGAGAGGACCAAGGAATGAGCAATCTCGATACGTCTTCGCCGTGTTAAGTAGCGATTATAGTGGAATTCCTTCTCCAATTCTAAGACTTGCTGGCGAGTGTAAGCAGTTCTAGACCGCTTGGGTTCCGCTCCATTGTAACTAGAGTTGACTGGAAAGAGGAGAAGCAAAGGGAAAGAAAGAAAGAACAGAATAGAATAGAAAAAGAAAAGAAGCAGCGAGGGAAGGATAGGGTAAACAAGCGTGTCTTTCATTGAGAAATGGTGGCGACAGAGGAAATGAGGGTGGGCTAAAACATCTAAAAGTTAGCTTTCTGTAATAAGGCTAAAATCACATTGGACTCAGCACTGAATTATTAATGCAACATTATAAAGCTTAGTTTTTCTCTGGTCCCAGATCTCCCTCACTCTCTCGCACACTCATAACAAGAGAAGCCACATGGTGATACGACTGCCCAGAGTATACCTCGGCTATAAAATTTATGGTGGGTGTAATTACCAATGCCTAGTCGTAAATCCGCCTCAATTGTGCCATTTCAAAGGCTTCTATCCTATCGTAGCAGAGGCTGGCCAGGGGATGAGTGTAAAAAGGAGTGAGGCAGACGGAGAGAGAGAGTTAGGATGAGGGGCGAGCTTTATAGTGCTTAAGAGAAATACACTCAAGTTGCCTACCGGTGCTGACGTGAATTTTCTTCATCCATGGGTACACTACGGGTTGTTTGGCAGAGGCTGAGCTGTTGGGATGCTCCGGGGTGGCTTGATTGCAGGCGGAAGATGCAGCCGAAGGGGTGGCAGGAGACAGGGGTAACGGTGGGGGCTCACATGAGGCTGATTGCCCTTTTCCAAGCAGGTGCCCCGCGTGAGGCAGTCCATGTCCTCTTTGAGTATCAGGCTCAGGGATGCTTGCACAGTTATACTGACGCTCCTGGTAGCTTGCCCGCGGAGGGTATAACTCCTGGTGGTGATGCTGGTAGCCACTGTCCCTTGCACGGCTGTAATATTCTGGGCTATGTTCGGGAATGTAGCTATTTTGCGAATATTCCTCGCAAGGAGGAAATTTCGGATCGATGTAGTTAGAGTCCATCAAATACGAGCTCATGATCATTAATTTCTGGAGTGGAAAATAATTTTTCTAGCTTTGTCGTTTTTCTGCTCCATAAAGCCCTCCTACTAGCGAGCAACCCTGTAAAGTTACTTTTACCACGTGATTCGATGGCCCAATGGCATGGGGCGATGTAGTTCCCGGATAAGGAACCACAGCTTTCGCAAATATACCTTCAATTTTCCGCCATTGTCCGCGGAGTCTCCCAGTCTGTCTATTCCTCTCTCTCTCTTTCTCACTCTCTCTCTTTTTCTCTCTCCCTCGCTCTTCCCCTTTTCACTCTCCCACTACCGCATACACAATTGAGAAATCTTCTCGGATCAAGCCAAAGCATCCAGGGATGTTTCTTAGTTAACTTACCTGTAAGAGTTTAACTATTTACACAATTTAATAAATAAATTTATTTATATAATATAAACGACAATAATATTAAAAAAGCAATCATTCTTAAACTTATAGGACGAATCGAAGGTATTAAATCTACTGCCAATAATTACACTACATTATCCAATGCTTTTATAATACTATATCGTGTAGGCAAATATCTGCAGTACTATCAGTATTCGCTTCTATGCAAGGGAACAGCAAATTTCCAAATTCAGTGACTCATTTTGCATGATCTCCATTTCTTATTTTTATTTATTTTTAGAACATAGAAAATCTGCATTACTTTTCATTGATACAGTTTATAATTACGATAAATACGACTATACATGATAAATGCATGTGGTGGTAGATACGTTGTTTAATTAAGCTACAAAAGCTTAAGAATAATCTTTAAAAATGGGTGACATACAGCATATTATGAATTTTACGTCCTGTCTAATTTTGGCTTAGTATTTTCATTAATTTCTTGAGCAATTCTGTTCATTTAAACTTTTCTATTTATTATGGTAAGCACCACACACGACTTTCATGCAAAGTCACGTGCCTCAGACGGACGAATACAAACCCAACTTGGCGTTCGTGGCTTTTACGTCGCCCATGTATTCCTGTAGAGACGTATTTGCGATTTTGATGTTTTGGACACAAATTCGGTTCTACAGGGTACATATAGACGACTACTGACAGGCCCTTCTTTTACTGGAAAATTTAAAAAACGGAATACAACGAAATTAAGGTTATGTCCGGTTAGCATGTGACCTTTATCTTAAACATTGCTAAATAATATTATTGGGAATATTTCTGTCTGGCATTTCAAATACAAATAGTTGGTCATAATTATTAATATTTAAGGTTAAAATTGTTATCTAGGCGTGAAATCATTTTTTACATATTATGATATATATATATAGCATATATATATATATATATATATACATATATATATATATATATATATATATATATATATATAATTTTTTAAATTATTATATTACTTATAAAATAACACAAAAACTAAACTATTTTACGATTTTCACTTCATTATTTAATTTACTGGCTTTTATTTAAATATTGTGCTTTTCGGTTCCTCAAAACGTAATGGTTCTTATTTGATACGACAATTGAAATTTGTGACAAGAACAACCTTATTACAACATTTAATTAATGCGTTTGTTTATTTATTTGTTTGTTTAATTGTTTGTGTTTGTTTCTTGAAAACCCCATTTTATTAAACTTTTCACTGAAATCACATGTAATACACAATGCATAAACAAATAGTTCCATTAAAAAAAACATGAGAATTAAATCTACAAAAAGAAATTAAATGTGTTTTGACGTATTATGCCTTTTTCTAATTCCATAGTACCACTCTCAACATTCCAATGGGTTGAGTAACTGAAAATGAGAATATTAAAGTTGTAAGTGGGCACAAAATGAAGAAACGAGAAATAATTTTATTATCAAATTATATTACACCTCGACAGCACAGGGGCACCCACTTGAAATTCCGTCTCAAACACGTTGTGCACAAAGCGGGCACGTGACAGCACTGATGAAAAATAAGTTTCTTTTGTTCCTTAGGGTTTATTGTGCACACTATTACCATATGACCGCCCGGTAACCTGCAAAACCGTGCACTGCATTTCTCTCCTCAGTTTAGCAACAGATATGAAATAAACGATAAACCAATCCAAAAGTAGAAAAATGCATTAAAATAAAATGCAAAAGTTTTTTTTTTTTCAGAACTCACGCTATACATAAAGAGCCTGTTTAAAAAAACTAAATTTTAAACCAAAAGAGAAGAATAAGATTTTTTCTAAATATAATTTTTCCTTATTAACAAAACAAACTCTTTAGGAAATTAAACCAAAACTCTCAAACAAATGGAAAGCTAGGAAACAGCCGTTTTGCCTTATCTCAAGCCTTTTTTTTACTTCGAGACCCTACAGATGTGATAGGGATTTTTTGTCCACCCCCACCAGCCTGAAAACGCCCCCATCCACCCACTCGGCACGGCTCTAGTGTTGCGGACGCATTTTAATATTAGTTAGACAGCCTGACCCGCATTTCACCCCTCGCGTTCGACTCGTTCCAATAGTTCACTGCCAAGGAGTTATTGATGAGCGAAAAGCGATGAATTCCCTCTGCACATAAATGGCCTCAGATCCTGCACCAGCTCAATAACTAGTTATAATGTAGAGACTTCCAAAAAGCTATAACCGCCGGCGAATTTGCTTGATGATTCATTTGTATATATGTGATTCCCTTAAGAGATAGATAGATAGATAGATAGATAGATAGATAGATAGAGAGAGAGAGAGAGAGAGAGAGAGAGAGAGAGACAGACAGACAGACTGACCAACTGCGACAGACAGACAAAAAGGGTTGAGAAAAAAAAATCTAAATATAAAGGTGTGATTTTTGGATGGAAGGATGCGTCAACTGTCCATAACCAAGATCTATTGTGTGTACGCTTGAATGAATGACATTTTACTCCTATATGATATTTAATGTATGCCCTTTGCAGGTATTTTGTATGATTTCATTTTTGAGCGCATATTTCTTTCCTTAAAAATCGAGTGAATTGTAGTTTAAGTGACCTAAGCTATTCTGAAATATAAGAAAATAAAGACCTTACTAATTTTTATTTTTTACCCTGTTCTTCCTATTATGCATTTAAAATCTTAGTTAAGTTTGTTTAATTTAATTATAGGCCTAGTTTTTGTTAGTATACTTTTTTTGTTCAGAAACCACGTATGTAGCCTTCCAACTTTTGTTTTATTATTTAAAGTGGGTCCAATTCACAAGTTTATCAATCTATTTGATACATCTGATGCATCAAATTCAGCTTTTAATGTGTTATTTGATTTAATGTCAGATCATATTTTGTATTGATTGTACATTTGCTTGTTTTCATTAAATTCATTCTTTTTGTTTTTAACCAACTTATGATTTGTATTTAGTCTATTCATATATATTTATTTTATTTTATACAGTCCTTTAAAAAAAGGCAATTGGTATGAATGCTGTATTTATATTTTAGTTTTTAATAGGTAATTTAGGTTTGTTTTTTAATCTATACTAAAACATGCAGTTTCGATACAGCTTACACTGTAATCATGCAAATAAATAACAAAATCTACATAAAAATAAACATACATTTCGTGTATTTATGCGTTTGCTTTTTACATTTTCGCTTGCATTAAAATATATATGAATAAAGGGAACTTATTGGCTTACTAACACAACAAACAGTTTAAAGTACACCTCCTTGCCTCCAACACATTGACATGTGCTGCAGTTGTTTCCCGCTATTGTCAGGGAACACTGCCCTCTGTGTTTGTACGCAGCGAAACAAGACGGGACAAGAATATATACTACAACAAGGAAATAACGATGAGACTTACCAGTGCAACGATGAGGTTGTCCTTTCACTCACGTTCACAATTTCCTCATGAGCTAAAGAGAAAGAAAGCAATTTAGAAAACCAAAATAAATAACTTGCATGGACTTATCTCCTTTGTCATGTCTATTAAACAATTTAAAGGGGTCGATATTGATCTAAAATAATCAGATGGTGGTGATGGAAATCAAGCACTCTTTTTAATATCCTGGTAAATAATAAAATTAATATCTTTTGTTTATGTGATTTAAAGAGACACTCAATCTTAAATAAAATTTTTCAGTAACAAAACTGTAACCCTGTGCAAAGTTGTCTGATATGTCTGACAGTTGCATTTGGATTATATTTTAATGTTTTTAGTTCAACATCTCTTTGCCTCATTGAGGGTGAACTGTCCAAAGGCATGATCCCTTAAAGTAGGACAAGGCTATGTATTTAGCACAGGTTATTTTCAGATCTATTTCCTTGATGAATGTAGTTATTTTTGCAACAATAGAAGACCTAAAATGAGTTCCCAATTGGTCAGGTTAACATGGCAATTCAGACTTGTTTTGGAAAAGCATTGTTTGCTGCATGTTTACACCCTCAGAGTTTCATTTAACCAAACAGTATGTAAACATGTGCCTGTTGTGAATCCACATACAGTGAGCCACAATTTGTCATCGAGATGAATAAAAATGATAATTCACCTGAAAATTAACATTTATATTACAGACAGGAACAAAAATATAGTTAAATAGTAATTTGATTAAATAATGAATGGTTAAACTAAATACACTAAAAGAGATAGAAAAAATGAATAGTACAGTGCTCAGCATAAGTGATTGAAAATTATTTTTTTTTATCCATTTCTCAGTGAATATAGGCAATGTATTTTTGTGCATTTAAAAAAGATTTATTAAACAGATGTTTATTAAAATAATATTTTAGTCACCAAACATATTTAGAAATTACAAGATAATACATTTAAATTCTAGCAAAATAATGAAAAAAATACAATGTACGAAATTGACCAAAAATAAATAAATTCTTTCATTTTTTTTCCTTCTCTTGATTTTTTTTCCTTTTTTTTATTTGTATTGAATATTTTTCTATAACATATAAATTTGGCTGTACTAGTTTTTGAATCATTATTGTAAGTTATTTTGTTAGATAAGCTCCAGATTTGGCTTCAATACTGACTAATCTAATGTATATGCACAAATATAATAGTGTATAGCTTCCTTATAAACATATGATATTAAAGGATAGACATGTGAGGGGTGTACTTATATATGCCGAGCACTGTATATATCTTTATATGCTGCAGTCATTCATGCTGCACACTGAATTAACCTTACATTTTATGTAAGAGAGTTTTCAGTGCTATTTCTTCTAATTCTTTTTTTTTTTTTTTGTATTAAACAGTTTTGTTGTACAATGCAGCCAAGTTTTAATAACCAAACATTTTGTTGATAAATTATAATCTTGACTTATTAAATCTGAATAATTACCTTTTAATCACCTTTTTTCTTTGTGGTTACCTACTTATTACTGTTATACTACTAGTTTGTTTCAGCTGTTTAGGTTTTACATTTCTGTTAAAATGTGGATTGTCTATAAAGGCTGTTCCAGCATTGAACACATTGCTTTTAGTTATTCAGTATGCAGTGGCATAATTTCTAATATTCTGACATTTAGTTATTCTTTCTACAGGTATCTGCACAGTGCAGGAAAATACTGTCATGTTGCTTATATGACCAGTTAATTTTCTTTTCTCCAAAATGACGAAAAAATACACTGAACCCAGTTTGCACTGAGAGAGACGAAACAGAGCAATATAAATCTATTGCCCCCTATTGGCAGTTAATGTTTTGACAATATTCAAAGGATTTAATTTTAAATTTTAAATATGTGTAGGGCTCAGGAAAAAAAACAACATTTATTTTTAATTATTAATGCCAACAAGAAATTAATAATAATAATAATAATTAATTAATTAACAACAGTTGAAATAAAGGCAAATATAAAAAAAGGTTAATTTTCTGAGTCAATCAATGTGTATGAAGAATTAAATTGATATAAGATCATTTATTATTATTTATTATTTCATTCATATTCAATTTGTTTTATTGTATTTCATCATTGCATGAAATTGGATTGTGTTATGCATGACTAAAATTATTGCATTACTAACTGTATTAGTTCAAGTGTTGTGTAACATTCTTTAAAATATTATAAGCAGTATATGTGCATGGATTGGGAAAAATTAATCATTATTTATGCTTTCGTTCATTCACTTATTTTCTTTTCGACTCAGTCCCTTTATTAATTAGGGGTCCCCACAGTGGAATGAACCGCCAACTTATCCAGCATATGTTTTATGTAGTGAATGCCCTTCCAGCTGCAAACCATCACTGGGAAATACCCTTACACACTTATTCACACACATACACTATGGACAATTTTAGCTAACCCAATTCACCTATACCACATCTTTAGACTTTGAAACCGGAGCATCCGGAGGAAATGCATGCCAACACAGGGAGAACATGCAAACTCCATACAGAAATTCCAACTGGCCAAGCTAAGGCTCAAACCAGCAACCTTCTTGCTGTGAGATGATCGTGCTACCCATTGCACCACCATGACACCCCTATTTATGTTTTGTTTGGAATAAAACATAAGATACAAAGACTTCCACTTATATGTTTAGGAGTTTTGTATTAGCCAACTTGCTAACACTGTTAACTTAATTCTAACTAAATTGGTGCTAATTAAAGTAATGTCACTATTGTTTTGTTTGATATCAGCTAACATTCCTCTCACTGTTCTTCATGTAATAAATAAATAAACAACTAAAAGACACAACTTTAACAGTAGGCCTGAAGGGGGAAAAAATGGCAAGCCATGGAATTTACAACTCAGCAGTACTTAGAACCAGACAGTCTTACAAGACAGAATTACACAGTGATATCGGTCTTTACTCTACAAGCCTTTGTTTTTATATGTGCTTGAACACCACAAACTGCTATAAGTGACTTATAGGGAAACAGTGAAACTCTGAAATTGGCATCATACCATTTTCCTATCAGTTTTGTAAAAATATTGTATTTACCCCTCTGTATGGGTAACAAAACAATGCAGAGGCATCTAAATGTCATTTAGGGTTTCTGGAAGTCAAAATTGACAGCCAATTTGTTTTGATATAGTTTTCTTTATTATAATTCATGCACTCAAAAATATGCCGTACTTTCAACTAGGCATGGACCGGTATAAGATTCTGACGGTATGACAACCTTGGATAAAAAATTCACGTTATCATGGTATTGTGATACTGTTGTAAAATATATTATTTTTAAATGTGTAGGTAAAAAACTAAGCTTAATTTCTAGCTTAAAATGTTACATTAATTTGAACCCAGTGGTTGGGTTAGTTCTTATTTTACTCAAATTTAGATTGAAATAATAACCAATCAATTTTTTTTTTTTTTGAGATGAGAATAAAAACAGGTAAATGCCATAGATGCTACATTTTGGACCTTCATTAAAAAGTCAGAAACTATGAAGGAAAAAAACAGGAATAGTTTTATTTTAACATATGTACAACCTTTGCAAAAGGGCCTGAATTTGGTCAATAGAAGAAGCATGGGCTCTTCTTTTTTTATTTTTTTTAATAAAATACATCACTGAACTCCACAGATCAGAAGCATAGCATATGATGATGGCAGTGCACAGATTAAAGAGAACATTGTGGATGAACATACTTATTCTGTTTCCAAGCACAACATCATAAAGTAAGATATGGCTTAAACTTTTCATACCATGATTATAATGGTCAAGTGGAGCCTCATCTGTCATGTAAAGACCAAGGAATATCCAGTGTTGAAAACCGAAAAATAACTATGGTCAAAAAATGTCAAATGCTTTGTATAAAGTATTCTTTCTCATGTGCCTTTAAACCATTTAGAATAATTTAAGTTATGCTTTTTTGTTTGGTTCATCATGTGACTATACCTCATCATCCACACTGCCCTGTACATGACCCCACCACAACACCACATCTTCTTTGCCCTGTACATGACCCCACATTATGTCCGATCTAAAGATCTATGTTCTGCGCTCTCATCTACAAACCAATACAAGATCACTTGGCTTCTCACACTCCGTCACCTTCCCTTTTTCCACAACATACACATCCTAGGCACAAACTATGCACTTTTGAGCATATTAATTGATACGAGAACGCAAACATTTCTGTGCATATAAACAAAACGATCTGATGCAAATCTGTTCACACATTACAATGCTTTTAAGATGTTTTAGAGTACTTAAGAATCATGATATAGAGAATTCGATTTGTATCTATCGCCAGAACAATAATTCCACATGAGTGCCAAATTAACAGTTATATACAAATGCACAAGCCTACGTTCTGGACCTCAGAAAACGTGAACAGATGAGAACAGATTTGCGCACCACTTGACACAATTTCTCCAAGAACTATTAAATTACATCTTTGATTAATTCCCGAGGGTGTTGCTGAGGAAAGTACATTTAATTAAAAAATAGGAAAACAAGATTATTAACTTACGGCAGCCGCCTGGGATCCATTTGGGAGAGTCGAACTTCTACAGACCCTGACGCGAGTAACCCGCACTAACAGGCTCTAAGCCGTTCTCTCAGAGATAAGAGTAGCCAACAGCTGCGATTACGGACAGTTAACATTATATATGATGTAAATATATTGAGGGTTTGTCAGGTCTTGCAGGCCATAAAACCCACTTTAATGACCCCACGTGCTCTTCCTGCACCACTCACTGGTCCTGCTTTGGGCAATTGGCATAAATAACCCTCTAAACTTCAAAATACGTAGCAAGAGGGCTAAAAAAGAGGGCTTTGTGTAAAAAGCAACATACTAACCACAGTAACTCGCAATGTGGCCCTTTCGGTCAAGATTGCGAGTGTAGAAATTGAAAGAAGCATGGAAATTTACATTGAACCTTCGATATAGGTGAGTGAGACGATTCTGAAATGAAAGCACTTTTGGATCAGTAGTATAAATTGACTAGCTAACTGTATTTAATTTTTTAGAATAAACTAATGTGTGTGTAATTGTCGCATCCATAATTTTAAGAAATGTGGGTTTTATAAATATTCGTCAGCATTTTAAATACACTATGAACGCCACATAAACGTAATGTAAATATATATGTAAATATATATATATATATATATATATATATATATATATATATATATATATATATATATATATATATATATATATATATATGTATGTATGTATATGTGTGTTAAATCAGTAAACATTAGAGCGGAAAAGAGTCTGAATGTCCGAACAAACTATAGTAGGAAATTAGCATTTTGCACACGCAAGCAGCTCTCCTTTGTTTGACATAGGCCTGGATTACGTGATTTCTGCACACAGGGTGACTAACATCACGTCTCTTCATCTTAATTACGAATTTATAACGAAGTAGTGCAACCAGTTCATTGATATAGAATCTTTAATTATAAGCTTACCAGCTAGGACGATTAATAACGTTTTAGAAGCATAATGCATATGCATTTTAAGGACGTAATAATGATTATATTCGTAATTAGTGCCACAAACTATTTAATTAAAAGTGCAAACTATCTTATTGTTTTAAAGGGTTTGTATACCAAAACGTCACTTTGAAATGTTTGTGTAAACTTCCGCGGATATGTTAAAAGGGGAAACAGTTGTCAGTGTCTGATGGGTGAGAGGAAGTGCTGTAAAAGTTTATTGGGGTCATAAAGTTTTATGTGCCTCCGTTTAAGGGCTACTGTAAATAAGTGACCGGAGCGTTAAAGTTCAATCATGTCTCATCACTGGAAGTATAAACGTGCAAGCTACGTTTGATGCATTAACAAATATTTATAGTCATATTAATTGGGGCAAATCTTTTTTTCTTTTTCCTAACCCTCCGGGTGGCAAATAGGACTTGAATTTAAAAAATGCATGTGTGTAGTGAAAGACTCGTTGCTTCTTAACAGAGGAAAAACGTTAACAAAAGGGTGTTAATCATACGTTTAATCGTTTATTAACAATGATATCACTTTTATTGGAGACAGATGGCTTTTAACCCACAGCTGACAAAACCTTCCGAAACGTTGCCATTATTGGAAGTTTAATCTTGTTAAATACTTCTTTATTGATAGGAAAATTATCGATGTGGCTTATCTACGAAATCTCGAAAACAACCGGTTGAAATAAAGGTAATATGGATCGCAGAACAAATGCGTTTTGTACAAAAGTAGGTCGTGTATGTTTGGTATGGGAATTGGGAAGTATCAATAAGCCACTCCTTACAGTTCTTACAGGATTCCCTAAATATAGGCTACTCGAGAGTGGGGTGTGTAAAAAAAAAAAGCCCACTTAAGAAAAAAAAAAACTAAAATTTTTTTAAAGATCAAAATATTCTGATTGCACAGTAATTCAATAAACACAATCATGTTGAGAAAATTATAACATTGGCTGCTGACTGACAGACAACATAATACACAACGTTTAATATGAGACTAGTTTTTGCATTTATATCATAAATTGGGATTTACCATTCTTGTGTAGGTATTATAGATGTATTTAGGCAGAAAGTACAATGAAAAATAAAGACAAGTAGCATCAAAAATGCAATGAACAGATTGATGAATGATCAAGCAAAGCACCACATTTTTGCACGTACATTTATGTCAACTTAACTGTATTCAGGCCTTGGTATATATTATGTAGGATGATACAAGAGAGTTTAGTAAAGCATAATCAATGTTTAAGCTCATACATTATTCAAATTAGCATCTGCCGTACTGGGGACAGAGCACTATCAATAAATATTGAAAATATCAACATATTCACATAACAACATAATATTGTAAACAAATGATAGACATCAACAGTTGTTAATAACAAAATCAATTTTAAATCATTCGTTGTTTTAGTTCAAGGGTTAACATTGCCTTTATTTTCAGGCTGTTGTAATTGAAGTCGTGCAACACATTATTTATAGTCCTCCTTTTACTTTCAACTTTGAGTCCTTCTTCCACTTCATGCGACGGTTCTGGAACCATATTTTAATTTGGCGCTCGTTCAAGCAGAGGTTATTGGCAATCTCAATACGTCTGCGACGTGTGAGGTATCGGTTGAAATGGAACTCTTTCTCCAACTCCAGAGTCTGGTACCGGGTGTAACTGGTTCGTGACCTTTTACCGTCAGATTCTGAGATGGCATCAGAAAGATACTGGGTTACCTATATGTAAAAACGTATCAACTGTCGTCCTCATGCATATTGCTATACAATTAATTTTTATAATAAATGATGAAGTTGCCACCAAACACAGTCCTTAAAATGCAATGGAAACATCAAGCATTATGAAATCCAAAATGAAAACAGTGGACAGGTGGTAGGCGCTTATATTTTTTATTCTGAAATTAGAAGGTGTCATGCACAAAATAGACGTGATGGAACATGATAAACCTAAATATGACAAGGCCATGAGCTTCTTAACATGTCCAGACTCAAAATAATGTAAGACCTGAACAAATAAAAGAAACTGCTATTGCACTTCTTAAGATGAACCAAACTGACAATGTAGGTGTGCTGTACTTTGCTTTACTACTCTAGCGGTGCAGAGTGCAACTAACCGGAAACATAAGTCCTGCCAGATTATGTATGTATGCAAAGATTCGGTTAAAATTCCCTTTTACTTGAATAACATGTAAACTCCCTTTTATTCATAAAAGCAACAAATAATTCGCAAATTTACGTTTTCATTTTTTGCTTTTCTTAACCAATTATTTCTCCATAAATTTGACCGGGGATCACCTCTTCACAGTAACAGGACAGGTTTACGAGCAATAGATGCCTTTGTCATAAAATTTACGGCCGCTAGTTTTATTATTTCCTGCGTTTGGCCTATAAAACTCAAGAGGAAAAATATGGAGCGACAAAACACAGTCTAAAGGAGATGCAATGACGATGATGAGATGCGTGCAGGTTTCCTCTTTTCTAAAACAAACTTGAAACGTAACTTTACCGTGGCTCATGTGTAGCTTTGTCATCCACGGATATATCTGCGGCTGCGACTGGTTCTGACGCTGAGTCGAATTAGTTTGTTGCTTTATCGCTGAAGTAGTCTCCATTTTGATATCGTCTGTGCGGCTCTTGCCGCTGGGCTTCTCCATAACTTCCATATTCCCCTCGGCTTTTTGGCTCAACAGTCCGTGACTGAGGGGGTTGTACCCGTGAGTGCTTACAAAGCTACGAGAGCCCAGAGCTGAACAAGACTGTGTTCGCTGAACTGCTGCACTGCTCCTTGCACGGTCGGTTGTGTTTATCGCCTCCCGCCTCAAAGAGTTGGTGGGGATTTGAGAACTGAAGGATCCGCCGAGATCAAGCCCTTCGTACGCGTAATTGGACTCGTGGAACTCACTGTGAGCTCCATAGTTGTCAAAAGTGTGCATTCTACAAGAGGAGGCGTCTTGCGTCTGCTTAGAAAAAGACTTCCCAACGTATGAGCTCATGCTATTTCCCAAACAATATCACCCTAAAGAGACTCACAAATAACACTCGGTCACTGCAGAAACGAAATCAGCTAATAAAGTATACATAAGTTGTTTAGAAGTTGTATTTGTTTATTGGCTTTATTTGTATTTCTAGAGGACGTTAGGCTTGTCCTAAAAAAGAGCAGGATTTATAGGTGGAGGAAATCATTTTCTTTTTTTCTTGGTACGACGTGTAATGCCCAAATATGGAATGTTTAAATAGAATCACGTGCAGCTCCTGGCCAGTCATAAATTGGCTTGATCCCCAGGAGGTTATTGATAGACAGGGAAACGTGTCCGATAACTTCTCGGTATGGAAATCATGCAAGGGTCTTGGCTAAAAAGGGCGAGACCGTTAGACAAGAGCGTCATCTGGCGTCTAATACTGGACAAAGCGGACTCTCTCACATACACAGACATGTGCAAACAAGATGATGGACAAGAAACAATGCGATACGATGTTATGACAAATCAAATGACAAAGCAATATGAATAATGTGGGTTATACGAATATCACATTAGTTACATATATGACAAATATGTATTTTCCGTTTTACAGTCTTGGATCTCTGTTGGGTGTGTGTGCGCGAATCTTACTTTTTTCTTCAAACTACAAGAATTTATGCAAAATTTGATGATAGGAGTACTTTTAATTGCGTCCATTCACGTGCATTGTTGCAGCAACATTATACAAAACAATATATTTGTTGCGGAAGAGCGTAATGCCACCATATGCAAAGCCAATATACCTAAATACTTTTTGTCAATCAAGCATTGTAGCTGTGTCATTACATGAAATATGCAATGCTTTATTCAGCATTTAAGTCGCCACATACTTTTATCGTTAAATATATTAACGAATAGGTTGAACTATTTCATTCAAATAAGTGGACTTTGGGCAGATTCAATTAAAGTTAAATTGAGTACATCTGAAGAAAACAAACAAACTACGTGTAAAAGTGGATTTAATTTGTTGTTTGGATTTAGCTTGGTCATAAATGTGTAGGCCTGAATATAAGCTCTTAAATAAATATTCTTCAATACGAACAAATGTGTGAAGACTTACAATTTTTAACCCAGCTGTGAACCTCTTTCTGAAGCGCGAAAAGCGCAAAGTCGTAACAACAATAAGACAATACAGCTTTTTGTTTTCAAGAATTTTATTAAATAATACACAGTTTACACAAACAATATAATTGCGTACCAAGGTATATGCTTGTTTTCATATGGGTGTGATTCTTACTTTAAGACAAGTTTATATGCATACAACTACAAGTATGATGAAATGTATTTTTTAAGTCTCTCAATACTTGATGTGCCAGTACAGCGGCATGTCGAACAATAGAACACTGACGGGGCAAAGGCAATATTGAGGGGGGACAATTAAAATAAAATGATTTAGGTAGTATAGTTCATCCCGTCAGTGCTTGTTTCATTGTACAAATATGCATCCACAAAAACTGAATGTGCATATAAGAAGTTTCCTTCACTTCTGGAATGCTTAGGGAACATTTTAGAGGCTTAATAGTTGGGAGACGTAGCCTACTTATCAAATTGGAATACATTTTCATCTAATGTACTTTTTCTACTAGCCTATAGCAACATGATAATACTAAAACCACACAAATAGTTCATCTGTGGCATTGTCACCACGCAGCCAATAAAAGAGCTATTTCAACAAAGAGAAGTGAATTCCATTATGGTGGATAACAAGTGCGTCTTCCTCTCTCTTCATCTCTCCATTTGTTTCTACGTGTGTATATGTTAGTGGCGTACTGGTGGTAGTAGAGCTTTTGTATATGGTGTTCAGGTCAGAAGAGGAGGGGGGCAGTCAAAGTAATAGCAGAGTATACAGTCCATGCATTAATATTTGCAAATTCTCAGAGTTTAGGTAGTTACGTTGCAGTTAACAGGCGTTCGAGAACGAGACATTGATTTCCTAATCTTTTTTTTTGGGTTCCTCCTCGGTCTCCTTCTCGGTCTCTTGAGGAGTACCAGCAGATTCGGTCCCCGGTACAGTGGAAGTTAGATTGGTCTCTTTCTTCCATTTCATGCGCCGATTCTGGAACCAGATTTTAATTTGACGCTCGGTTAGACAGAGAGCATTGGCGATCTCGATGCGTCTGCGTCTGGTTAAATAGCGATTGAAGTGAAATTCTTTTTCCAGTTCCAAGGTTTGGTATCTGGAGTAAATCTGGCGACCTCTTCTTCTGTCTGACCCGTACCCAACTCCTGTTTTAGGGGAAAGTAAAAAATGAATTAATAAAAAGTTAACACAGCATTTTTAAATCAAATAAAAAAAATAAACCACACATTTGAAATCCTGGTGGAATTTTCAACTTTCTGAAAATTTTGTTAATTTATTTTTGAGGTAACTAATTTAACAATTTGATAAAAAGAATGTTTACATGCAGAATTTGACCCATATTTCAGCCACAAAGCAACGCGAAACTTTACATTTTGGTTTCCAATGCTTGTAATACAAATATTTATGTCAACTAACTTTGTCATCCTCTGTTTTCAAACAGTACATCGGAAGAGTTAAGCTGCATTGTTAACACAGTAGTGCATGCTTCTGAAATAAAGTTCAAAATGCCCTTTATGTTGTATATTTTCTAACGCGCTCACACTTATTGCACAACTTTTTAAAAATAATTTTGGCACTCGAGTTTTAAAGGAGGTAGCCAAATGGGATTCCCCTCTCTGGAAAAGGGGGCTTTTATAATCTGATGATTTAGTAGTGGTTTACGAGGCCATAAAATGTAGCTACTCTGTTGATAGGACGTATCGTAAAACAGACCAATTCCACCAGGGTATGTCCTAAGTCGCAGTAAAAACTCACCGCTGTGCGAGTTCATGCGCTGCATCCACGGGTAGATCTGAATGTTGTTCGCTTTCTGGTCCTGTGTTCCTGCACGAGCTTGTTCCAGGTTGTACTCCTGGGCAACGTGGCTCTGCGCATTAAGTCCCATACTAGTTTGCCTGCAACTGGGAAGCACGTCCTTATCTTGAAGAAACACGTTAGATCCATACTCGTACGGTCCTCGACTTGATCCAAACACAACGTTATCTTGAGGTGAATAGAAAGGGGACGCGTAAATCCGGTTTTGGGTCACTGTAGTGCCATAAGACGAAAAATGTCTGACTGAATCATATGTGGTCGAGTTCAGTGGCATGTTGGGCAAAACCTCTTGCCCACCAGATAAATGGCACGAGAGCGACGGGTTCGCGAAATACGAATTCATACCTTTCCTATCGCCCTCTCATCAACTCACCCTCCTATCTTATTTCCCCTCTCTTAATCTCACACTTTCTTTCTTTGTGCTTGGGGTCTGCTTCCTTCTGTCACATACACACGTCTCCCGCCTGCTTTCCTAACTCTCTTTCAAATGAACTTCAGAAGGATTTCAATAATATTAATTTCCAGTCTCCGGTTAAGACGCGCAAAGCAAGTGTTATAGCCAAGGCTTGGCTCATGGAAGGACAATATGACAGCGTCACCTGACCACTTTCAGCCAATTGAATGCGCTGTGTACGGAGGAATATCGAGCTTGTAGCTTCTTATCCTTGTGGCTTCAGTTGATAATGTTTAAGTAAACACACGCAAAAATACTGAATACGCAGTCAAGAAAACAATCAATTACGTCTTTTGTGCATCAATCGGCGAGTTAATGCCAGTATTAAGCTTCTCCGTGTATCTTGGGAAGGTAAATACAGACTTTTCTTGGTGAATCATGCATTTTACAGTGAGCTAATTTTCGTCTAATTTAATTACTTGAATGATTGTTTACTACAGTTGCTTACTGTCGCTTTCGTATATCAAACTATACATATGTAATTTATTATGGCAGTAATAATTATAACTACATTTATAACTTCTTTGCTGACACAAAAACTTTATTATTTAATAACAACTTATTTGTGTATAACAACACTAGAACAACAATTTAGCCACTAAATTTATTTCCTAAAAATGTTTTTTTAAAAATAAAAATGATCCAAGTCTAACTATTAAACAGCTGCTCGCGCTTTATCTACACGTATCTTGTTTACCACAACGTTTTAAATAAATTAAATATAATAACTCAGAAACTGTTAATAAATCTGCTGATACACGTTATATCACATCAATAGGCATAATCATTGCTTTATCGTCAGTCATTGAGTGAAATGGCAACACTATTGTTTTTGTTATTCAGTTGATTTGTCCTTGCTACGTTTGTTTCTGTCTATCCCTAATTTCCTCGGGCTTTCTTTGCGCTGAAGGGGAAACGTCTGTTCTTTTCCTTTCCCCATTTGTAATGTATTGATAATTTCAATGGTAAAAAGAACCTGAGTAGGGAGGGGGGAAGGGGCATCTTACTAAAGAATGCGTCAAACGCGCCTTGGTGCCATAAAAGTCACAAAACCAAACTGAGGACTTCCAGCTCAGAGGCAATTACCCCTTTGAATGTATGGGGGCTGTGCAACGAGTCTCTTATCTTCTGGACAGAAAGCTGATAATTTTTTAGCATTTAACCTACGAGCGTAAAGACAATAATTATGAATTAAAAATATAAGGCCTCTTAACAAAATGTAAGTTCTCCTAAACTGTATTATTTTAATATTTTTTATTACATTAAATGGATCATATATGCCAACGATATGTTAAACAATACAACACTTTGGCTTTTTTAATATTATATATTTTTAGCTTGCAGCCATATTAATTGAATGGTCAATTTATATATCATGTATATCATGTTGAAATAATCAGTAATGAGAAAGGGCTAGTTAAACCGATTGGTTAGGGTATGCACCATGACCTTAATGCAGGCCACATGACGGAACGTGTGAGGCCAAAAACAGTGGTTTAGAAAGAGGTGCGCAAAACACGAGATTGACAGAACAGTAAAATTTACTTCCAGCCCGACAGTGAGAAAAGGCATTTAACAGCTATAAAACAGGCTAATCTGCTTAACGATTGATTAAATACATAGAAACATTTCTGTATATTGCAAAGAACCGGAATTAATTAATATCAGGGATTAATGTTTTGATGTTGTCATATTTTGGATAAAGCTCTTCTAGGCAAATCTCTACTAAGAGAATATTTAAACACCAATATGGTAAGTGCTGTTCGATCGGTTTTCTACAACTGCTAATAATTATGATTAATTTATATTCGAGGTTTATGCATTGACGTTTATAACAATACTAATAATCGTAACAATTATTGTTATTCATATTATTATTATTATTATTATTATTATTATTATTATTATTATTATTATTATTGCTATTATTATTATTATCATTATTATTATCCAGTTTTACACGGTCTGCAATAAACATTTTAGACATAGCCGCTAAATTAATATATAACATAGAGCAGTCTATACGGTAGTGTGGACCTTAAAGCACAATTATCTAATTTATAGAATATTACACCATGTATATTGTGGAAAGAAACCAATAAAAGTAAAATATATCTGTAATAAAAATATTTCTTGCATGAAAAGTGTGCGCACACATTTTAAAGTAATTCATTTGTCTCTTGTTTTAGTTTGAGGTAATTGAGCAGTTGCCAATTTAAATATCTGAAATGCAATGCGCTTTTTTTTTTTAAAATAAAGCAATAATTGTAATTTAGTTAAATGTAAAAAGTTGTTACCAAGATATGTCTTTGGATAAGCTAAACTATTTAGAAAAAACGAAAGCGCATGCTAATAAAAGATGCATTATCAAAATCATTTAATAAATAATTTCATAAGTTCACGTGTAGTTTGGCGGATTTTAGATCAGAAACTAAATGTATGTTTTGTCTATATACATACATACATACACACACTCTCTCTCTCTCTCCTCTCTCTCTCTGTATATATATATATATATATATATATATATATATATATATATATATATATATATATATATATATATATATTTTTTTTTTTTTTTTTTTTTTTTTTTTTTTTTTTTTTGTTCTAACTACTTTGAACTGAAAACCATTGATGGAGAGATTTTTAATATGGTGATCTATTTTACAACATGAGTATTGTGAATGAAGTAGCGAGTAAAACACACCACACTCAGTCTGCAGTTGGTATGTTGATGTGACTGGAGAGAAAGAGCTTTAAGTGTTTTATTGCAGCCCTTAAGACAAATCGCACGGTTGTGTTTTAGCGTTTGAAGAGGCAATAAATAGACATCCCGTTTGGCCTGTATTCTCTTTACACTCGACGAAACTGCGCACTAACGTGCGCCAAAATCGTACTTAACTTCCAATGCGTAATTTACGTGATACGATGATCTGAAAAAAAGCAAGCAATGCACATCCTAACTGTGCTCGGTAATGGCCTAGTCTGCACATTCTCGAGAGTTAAATGAATGTTATCATTGGCCTATTTTCTTCTAACGGATGTTCACAATTGCAAATTCCAGCGATGAGTCTTTCTAGCTTTCTTATTTCCAAGCCCAACTTTCCTACCCTGTCATCTATGTCGATGTATCTATGCAAAAACAAAATCTGTAATAGTAACGTGACAGCTGTAACAGAGCTCTCATGTGCAGCTAAGCACTTATAACAACACACGAACCGAAGGGGCATTATAGTTTTTAACTAGCACAAGATAATTCTGTGAAATTATGTGGCCGCATAATGACCTCCATGAATAAGATGTTTTGAAGTTGAGCGAACTCGCATTGCCCTGCGGTTCTTGTAAGGAAATGTTTGGAATTGAAAGTTCGCCTGGAATTTGTTTTCATTTTCGTGGCAACTCTGAATTATACCTTCTATGATTCAAATTCAATAGCGGTGGCAGACACGAGACTGGCTCAGAGTTTACACAAATGATAGTCAGATGGCAATAAATGTGTCAATTTTTACAAACCTGTTTAGAACTTTGCTATTAGCGTTAAGAATGGCTGTAATAAACAAATGAGTAAATCTTATACACCTTATATACTTACAGGCATGAGGATTAGTTAAAAAGACTCAATTTTTAATGGCAAACAAAAGACAGTCATTATCCTGAGGCAAAGAGGAGACTCGCAGTAGAACAACCCCGCCCTTTACTCGCTTTCGGTCTCTCACTTACACACAAATGCACACATACACATCGACGAACCATATGCGAGCCCACACTCAAGCATTCTATCTTAATATAATACCATTTTAAAAATAAAAACAGACCAGATTTATGCATACAAAGCTATCTCTGTGTATCTATATCATTTGAACGGGTTATTTAAAATGAAAAGTACTTCGGCAATAGATGGTGTTTATTTGGAAGGTACAAGTGAAACTTATTTTTAACAATGTAGTTGTTACGAAGTGTTTGCATTTAGCACCGGAAGCTGCATGTTCATAACAACTGGATTTATTTTTGACATTTTTCCCCTATTCCAGCCTCACTTGTGGATTTCCAGAGGCCCATGACTGAAGGTCGCAGCTCTAGTTTTTGATCAGCGGAGGACCAGCGGAAATTATTAACATGCTACTTCATAATAACATATCACATAACATTACATAAAAATCTGTTTTTCTGTATTGTTTAAATGTCGTAACATATGACAATAAATGGAATTTTAAAAAGCCTGATGAACTGTTTCTGTATTTGTGTTTTAAAATGACTATTTTTTTTAACAATCGATCATTGATATTAATTGGTAAAAGCCACCATACATAGCAAAATTAATGTATTGAATAATTTTGCTAATTAGTAGGTCTATATTCATTTTAAACTTTACCATAATGGCAATAAGCCATTAAAGCACCATTTTAAACATCAATTTATGATGTCATTTATATCAAATGAGCTTTTTACGTACAAATCAACACCAGGAAATGCCAGACACGTTCCCACATGAAAATTAAGATCTGAATTTTATGTGGGTAGTTCTTCCTGACTTTAGGCTCTTTATAATGCCTTGCATATGGAGCAGGCACAAGGTGGCAGTGTTGTTTGATTTAGTCCTAGTGGAATGACAGTGTTGGATGATTGAACACGTGTGCGAGAGAGAGAGAGATAGAGAGAATATTGTTGATCCTGATTCAGATAATAATAAACGTTAATAGAGGTTAATGAATAATTTGCTATGTAACACAAGTCATTTACAATAAAGGTATGCGATTAGATGAGCAAGAGTAAATCATTGTGTAAACGTTTTTAACACCTTGGTCATTACAAGACGGACACAACCAGAATAGCCTCCATAAGCGTGGATACAAGTTAATAAGTCAAGGAACATTTTGGCTTAATCAAAAACCAACAACATTTCACTCTAAAAAATCACAACTTTCAGTGTAAAAAATAACATAATGAATAACATGCCATGTAGAAAGAATATATAATAACACAGCAACTCATAACCCCATGAGTGAAAGCCATACTCACAAATTGGCCTGGATAAATATATTTATTTCTGTAAAAGGCATTACATTCGCCAGTATTCTTCAAATTGCAAAGCTGCATTATAAAGGCATTTACAGTAAACAAAGGCAACGAATGCAGCAGGCTCCGGTATCCATTATACCCGTATCAAATAACCACAATCAAACACATCATCTGGCAAAGCGCGCATTAAACTATTTGAAAGTAAGCTCATTAGTCTCAAAACACAACCGTTTGGACAACTTAATATATACGAAGAATATAGCCGTTGTTGCACACACACAATAATGCACTATTGGACAAGAAAGAAACAACATAAGCCATTTGTCAACGAGGCAGTGCGTTCTCAATCTATAATATTAAAGGAAATGCCAAAATAAAAGTACGTGTTTATACGTTGCATACCACAATTGAACATCCCGTTTAAATGAAATGCTGTCAAATCACCGTGTTGCGAAGCTACACATCTGTAAGAAGCCAATAAGGAGCGTAGAATCAATTACTTACCAGCGGTCGCTGTTGTCTGTGTGACGCACGTTCGGTGGCGGATAGCAGCATATCTTACTAGGCAACGGCACTAGGATCTAGATCCCACTCTCCTGTGCTCTGGAAAAATGTAGTCTTTCGAGGACAAATAACCATATTTACACACTCTAACCCCTCGAGCTCCAGCTATCAATATTGTTTTCCCTCTAGGGGACCAGATAGGTAGAAATGAGACTGGGGAGGCGGCGACGTCTGAGGACAGTCAGTCATTACTAGCGATAAAGCAGACGAGACAAGATGGAGTTTTAAAGCGTTTTAAAATCCGCCTAAACTAGTGGGCGAACAGAAAACGGGGAAAATGTCTGGTGCTAAGATCATTTCAACACCACCGCGAGCTCGCAAGTCGATAGATGGGGAGATCCAGGGGAAGACAACAGCACAAAGTTCATGTTCATAGAGTGAACACCACGTGGTCTGACGCAACCAATGACCGCGTGTATTCAGTCGTAAACTTTTATTACTTAGCTGTAAATTCCCCCTCTAAACAACTAGGAATGTGTTACGTTTCACCCTCTCTCAAAGATCGCATTTCCCATTTTCTTCTTCCCCTTTCCTTCTTTTTTTGGTGTGTTTTGCTGAGTTGGTGACACTAAAGATACAATTTTAAAATTGTCACTTATTGTTAACAAACATATAAGTCCAATGCTGTAAAAGCTTAATGACGTTAACATTTTGCGATACTGGGTAGTGGATATAATGAAAATTGCGAAATAGTATGCAAATAATCGGATATGGTGTATAAACTTTTATAATTATGCTAACTTTTGCAGTCCTATAATTGTATTAGCATAGACTATATTAGAATAAGTGCAGGATATGAAATAGCAATCCATATTTCTGAATAGCCACAACCACATATGTATTATAATTCTCTATTTATAAATATGAATTGAAATTTAAAATTATAATGCAGCAAATACCTTTTTTCAACAACTGGGTCGTTTTCACATTTACCCTGTTTGACCCTTTTTGTTTTTGTGTTTATCGTTTTCATAAGCTGGTTGAGTTTATTTCTGCAGCAGCTCGGAGCACATTATAGCATAACTCAGACTCACTGGAACGCAAATAGTTTTCATTTCACTTAAAATGATCACATGATAATTTTAATAGCACTTGTAAAATAAAATCCGTTTTTAAAAATTTCATAAAGACGAAGATCATGCATTTAACCTGTTAAACCTTAGTTAAGAATGATGAATTATATTTGAAATAATATGCTGTAGAGGCACTTGCAAAAGGGGAAAAATAGAGTTAATAAAAGTAGACGCTTTTGTAAGTAAAAGTAGCTACTTTGGTATTGCATTTCTTTTCAATTATATATGCAAGATGAGCTACTTTTGGCCATTTAAACGCAACAGGAAAAGTTTGACTGCTCTTGTGCTGTCAGATATCACATGAGGTTTAAGTAACATAAATAGATAAACTATATTTAAATATGGATGTAAATATCATAGATACGGTGTCAGTTCAGTGTCAATATTTTAGGGTTTAAGTTACATAAATAGATAAACTATATTTAAATATGGATGTACATATCACAGATACGGTGTCAGGTCGGATCAGTGCTAATATTTTAAGGTTTAGGCAACATAAATAGCTAAAATATATTTAAATGTAGTATAGATCCAAATGACACATATACAGTGTCAGGCTTGATCAATGTTAATAGTCTGAGATAAGTTTAGGAACATAACTGGATCTACTGTATATAAATATAATAATGATGCAATTTCACATATTCTTTGTCAGAATTCATCGTTGTTAATAAGCTGAGTCAAGTTTAAAAAACATAACTGGATCTTCTGTATATAAATATAATAATAATGCAAGTGTCACATAAACGGAGACAAGCTTGATCACTGTTAAAAAATGAGGTTAAAATAATATATCTGAATCGACTACAAATAAAATAATATTAATGCAAATGTGAAACACGTCTATAGGTGGATTTATATGCATGACTAGATAGATAGATAGATAGATAGATAGATAGATAGATAGATAGATAGATAGATAGATAGATAGATAGATAGATAGATAGATAGATAGTCATGCATATCAATCTATATATAATAGTTTCAGTTTTGCATGACTATATAAATGGAGAATTAAATTTTGTTACCTAAAGCTTAAATGATTAACAAAAATCAGGCTAAAAAACTGACGTTCCTGCATCTGACATGTCTGAAATTGTTAAAGTTCAGAAATGTATAGGTCAGTGTTTTAGTATGGAAAAGATAAGTAAAACACGCTAATTTGCGTCTTTATCTTATTTTCAATGCTATTGATTAACGTAGCTCCTGGACATTTGCTTTCTTTAAAACGAAATTCGTTATTATGTTACTAATTGGTTAATTAAGTTGTGTCAGAATTGCATGTTGACAGCATTAAAATATATTTGCACCAAAGATTCTTAAAATACTTATTTATAAAGTGTTGTATTGAGACTGTTGTAGTTAAACAAAAATAAAGAAAAGGGGGAAAGTAAGCAAAGTTAGATAACGGGACGCCAAGGTTATTGTGTGACATTAATACATATTAACGGAACGATTTCCCAGCTAAAGCAATCTAAAAGTTGACAAACTATACAGTTCGTGTAAGTTTGCAATTCATTTCGATTTAAGTTTTCCTTTAAATACTTCTAACATCACTACCATAATCGTAATAATACCATGAACACAAGTTTTGAGTATTTCAGTTTAATCAATTAATGATAATGACAATAGTAATAATAATAATATTGAATAAATGCATGCGCAATTACTTAAAAGCACAAAACATTGCCAAACGCCGTTTCCCCTGCATTTATCCATTTTCAATGATTTTTCCATTTTGAAAGCACATTCATAAGCTATGCAAAAAATATGTACAAACATTACAACTTCAACTCTTAATAAAGTTTTACTAAGTAAATTAATTGTTAGTCATTCACACAAACATGCACTTTTTGCTTACATAAACTTAAAGCTGTCCCACGTCCACGTTGCTTGCCTTGTGTCTTGTTCTAGCCTGTCTGTACTGAACAGAAATCAAAAGGCAAAAACGTCTGCCCGGATGCGACACTGTCGGGTTTACACCACCAATAAAGTTTACTGCAGGTATAGTAAAGCCCTAATTTGGAATGTAACAGCAGTGCAATACAAAGGCAAGGCGGATGGACAATGACCACCACAATTGTCACTACCACAGGAACTTCCTGAAAAGGTCTATGCCCTCGCCGAAAATATCTTTTTTATAACAGGGATTCAACTAACACCACAGCAACAAAAGGATAGTGAAATGACAATTACGTAAATTATCGACAAAAGAATATAGACTAACGTAAGTGTAACTGCAAAAAATGCGCTTGAAAATTAAGTTAAAAGAGTTTTGCATTTTGTTAAAATAATAATAATATAAAATTATGAAACGTTTACGCTAGTATAAATGTTCATACATCTTGCATCTTAGGTTCTTATCTGTTAAAACTAACAATTTTTATTGATTTCTGCTTTAATTATAATTTAATATTCGTTTTGATAGTACAGACAACAGGAAATATCACATCTGTAATACCATATTTGCCTCTGGTTTTGTACAATAAAAACTTTTAATATCTAGAAATCTCGTAGGTGTTAAAGAAAGTTATTATATTCTGCTATAACATCAATATTCTGTT